ATTAAAAGATTAATGTCCCGGCAAAATGTTCACTCCTGATTACAATGTAATTTCGATAGTACTAATAGCGGCAAGTATGACATAAGTAGCCGTACCGGTACTTCCAAGCGCGATGTTCATGATGTACAGTGGTGAACTTGCCTCTTGCTGCTCTTGTGAACGTTAACGAGAAACATCTGGAGAAAATATAATTCGTTGAGCTGAGGTTCGTTGCACAAATCTCATCAACGGCTTCCCAGAACGAAAGCAAGAAAGCAAGCAGCAACACTGAAGCAACAGAAGAAGCAAGGAGACAATTAATTTAAATGAGGCAACCAATGAGTTCCCATCTTGTACTACGATTTGGGGTGGTTTGTGTAGTAGTAGTGAGTCTGCTCTCTTCTTGTACATTGGCCACCTCGCCTTCCGAGTTTGTCCGTGTGAACACCGATGGATCTTCGTTTCGCAATGTACGAGCCGTGACCATCGGTGCGGGCCATGCGTGCCACAACGACATGTTCGACATGGTCTATCCCGAGACGCTCTTTACCATTCGACCCAGTAGTACGGCGACCAAGCACGATGTCACGGTGGAAAGCTATCCACCGAATCTCGTGACGGCCAATACGAGCGATGGCGTGCACTTGTACTTGCAGTACAATCTAAATGTCGTCGATCAGGTGGCAGAAGGAGACGGCACGGGTGTCATTTTGACGCTGCCAGAGGAACAGCTTTTATATGTTCGCGTTCGGACGGGCTATCATGCCCAAATTCTGCCGGGGTTTACCAATCTGTCGCATTTGCAAGCCGACACCCGGGCCACACTGACGGCCGATTGTTCGTCCTTGACACCTTCCTCTTCGTCGCAAGAAGACCAACGATTGCGATTGGACGTCACGGTCAAGAATGACGCGACCATGTACTTGAAGTCGACCGATGTGGGCGCCGAATTGGACCTCAGCGGTGGCGCCGTCATGATTTATCAGGGCAATGTCATGGGACACCGCAATGTCGTAGAGAGTCACGCACGGCTCTACCTACAGGGAACCATTCTGCCGGGAGCCGAAACACAGATCTCCTCCAGTGCCATTGCCACCATTGACGGAGACATTCGGGGTCATGTCACGGCCGACGATTGGGCCATTGTGGAACTCGTCACGACGGACAATGCCAACGTAAATCAAACCAACAATAGTATTACCGGAACCATTCAAGCCCGCAACGCAGCGTCAATCAATGTGGGACCCTACGGAAACTGCGATCGCGTCACGACGGAATCCAATGCCATTTGCAGTATTGGAATCATTGGCAATATCACCACACACAACTTTTCCGAACCCACCGAATGGACGCGCCACGGGACCGTCTTGTGCTCTTCCGCCACAACAGCAATAACCACAACAAGAGGTGTCTTGTCCTTGCTACTGACGGCGTTTGCCTGGTGGATTGGTTCTTAGCTAGCTACTTGGCTACATGCATGCTACGGAACGGAGAGACATGTTCTTTTGAGTTTGCTCTCATCATAACGCAAAGATAGGCGATGGATGGCCCCGCAGCAAAACGAGAAGAGAAGAAGATCCATTTCAATATTCGACAACCCACAAATCCACATCTATCTTCACTGCTACATACTTGCTATCCGCATACCGGCACAGCCGGATGTTGTACAACATGCGTTGCATTGATTGATTGATTGATGGACATGGGATGATTGCCGTGGCCCCGTGATGCTGGACGCACCCGATGCTCTAGCGGACCCAACACCAAAACACAAAGGCCTACTCAAGTGAACACTTTGTATGATACCATTGCACAAATCTATTCTTAGTATTTGTGCATTATACATGTAGCAGCGCAAGTTTTGATACTTTGCTTCCACTACGGTACTGGTAGTAGCTATAGCTGACAAGCGATGCTTCTTGTCATTTTGCCAGCTTGCCATTGGATTCGATTCCAGCTACACGACTAGCTAGTTGTACGTTCCGTAACTCGTAAAAGAATCATCAAAGCAGGCGCCTCCTTGTGGAGCAGCTTGCCTTCTTTGATGGTGCTGCGACAAGTGGTGGTAAATATCCTTTCGAATGTCGCGCAGATCGTCTCGATTGGCCATTTCAAACTGGTAGGATGTGCCCTTTTTGTGAAGCAACTTGAGGAGGGCTCGGGGACGATGGGCTGCATTGATGCATTGCTTCTCCAAGTTTTGCCAGCACATCTTCTTGACCTTCTTGTTATCGTTGGGGCCGTAGTAGGCAAATCCCTTGGAACTCAACACAATCCTACCGGGCTCTTTGTTGTTATTGTTACCACCCTTGAGGGATACACCGACGTACGTTGACTTGCACTTGCTGCTGCTGCTGTTATGGTTATTGTTGTGTCGTTCCACAAAGGGCTCTCGATGGGCAATGTGGTTGTCGTCGTCTCTCCTCGAAGCAACGGGAGTACTTGCATCCTTTCCTTCGGGGGTCGATTCAGACTTCACTGTATTGGGTGTACTTTCTGGCTTTTGATTCAGTTCGGTATTCACGTTTTCAAATCTGACTGTGGCCCGCCCTTGGCTCTTTCTTTCCGAGCGCCGGCTGTCATGAATCTGGTTGGTTTGTGCCTCTTCTGCTTGGCAACCCTCGGGTGCTTCATCAGGCTCGGACAGGCCTTCTGACGAGGATCTTGTATCCGTCGATGATGAATTATCCATGGTCTTGATTGAACCTCCCTTGCCAAGAGCTACAATGGTGACATCCCCCACAATGTTCTGCAAGAGCATGGTGCAAAACTCGGCAGAATGCGAGCAGTTCATTCCATTTACCTGTATCACTTGCATTCCAGCTTCCAGCCCACTCCCAACCAGTAGACCATCTTCGCTGATACCGGCAACGACTGGTCCAGCTTGGCGGTGGAAGCCAACGCCCAAAACGGCATGTTTGGTTGGCTTGGTAACCATAACCGAGGTGGTGCCGTGCTTGCGGTCGAACGTTGGGTTCATTATGGGATAGCAAGCGCGAGTGTGGTAGCAAATTTGTCGATAATAGAAATGCTATGGTCCAGCTGCTGGGGGGTTTGTTCAAGATAAGGGAGCAAAGAAACTAGACAATGCGACGACGAAGCCTTTGCAAGACCACCCTCTCGTCGATCCCCTCACGAAGGCGCGTTTGTGCATACTGTGAGCAAAACGAACCGAACCGACGCTTGCTACAGTTGCCGCAGCTGTTGCCGCGCGCAGAGTGGAAAGTACCTCCTTCTCAGTCGTGGCTCAGACCAATGCACGACACGTTTACATGTATGTCATAGATAGCTAGCTAGCTGCGCGGCCACTCTTCCAACACGACCTCTTCCACCATCAATACAACCGAGGCAACCAGGATGAACGCAACGAATGCTACCGCGACAACCTCAATGCCCGCCGTGGCGGCAATGGGGCGAACAACGCCCCCCTTCATCAAGCATTGCAGCAATCTTGCCATTCCTGGGATCCTTCTTGTCATACTTATGGGTTATGTTTACGTTGCTGCAAGATACGGTGTCAACCAGTGGGGTTGGTTTGGGGGGACGTCAGGTCACACAAATGTCAAGCTGACAAGCGCTTTGCAGTACGTTTCCTGTGTGTCTCTGTGTAGGCTGGGTATGACTATATATTCCTCCAAGCCTCTGGATTGGTCATCCAAGGCATTCGATGATAAACCAATGAGGCTGTTGTTGATGGCGAGACTGGCGGTTTGTGGAATGATATTGGCACTGGTTGTGAGGTTCAATCGCTGGTGGCGCAAATCGGGATGGCACATGTGGACGTCGATGCACTACCAGGGGTCTGAAAAGTACTTTGGAGTACTCTTGTTGTTCGTCATCAACCTTCTTTGCCTTGCTTATGAGGAGCTAAAGTAGCATTGCATCAACCTTCTTTGCCTTGCTTATGAGGAGCTGAAGTAGCATTGCATAGCTGAGCATAATGGCTCTCTGAAGAAATTACTATCGTAGGAGGACTCCGTTGGATCCGCTCGGCTCTGCTTGCTATACGGTATGGCAGCCGCAAAAGCCATCCGGGTGGGCAGCGACCGCCTGCAGTGAAACGATACAACCAGAACGTTCATCGGCCAGAAAGGGAAACCCTTTGTGGGAAGTATCATTGAGCAATCAGATGCCCCCAAAACTACAGCGCTCAGTACTCAGCCATTCAGCCACTCAGCCACTGAGTAGTCAGCGGCCCGTTGTCCCGCCAGCCAGAGCTACTAAGGTTTGTGCGAGGCAAGGTGAGGCAATTCATGGGACAAAGCAGAAGATATCGAGTGATGGAGCCGAGATGATCCAATCATTTTGTTCCACCCCGAAGGTAGGCAGAAGGTAAACAAATTTGTTGAAACATCACAGCTTTGGGGGGTCATAGTCTTGTTCCACAGGCATTCGGAAGCTGTGCAGTTTGTTGAGCCTTGGAGGAGCGTCCTGCTGTGGAGCCTAGACAATGATTGATGAGATGTAGAGATGTGCTTGAGGTGTACTGGTAAGTGAGGAGAGTGAGAACCGATTTCACAAAAGCCAGACTAGTGCCCTCATCCTGCATGTTAAGCCGCAAAGTCCTCCCACAACTGCCGGACATTGATAGCTGGCTAGTAGCAATAGTTCAGCAGCAGCATGTGCACCTGTACATCATGAGCAAACCGCAGCAATTCAGAGAGTCTTAATACTGAGGGTTTTGAAATTTTACTTTCCTCAGTTTTACATATGTTGAATTTTGCTTTATGCTATACATGCTGGTTTGACAAGGATTATGCCACAGACGGTCTCGCCCTGCTCAACTGACGAGTTGGTCAGTCTGATCAAAAGGGTATTGAATCGACAAGGTCTTCACCGGTACTAGCTAGGGTAATGGGTTTGGTCTATCTAATGCAATTGTATGGTCTATTTGGATGGTAATCGGCGTTCTATAGCTCTAGTTAATCTATCTTATCGTACGGTACGAAACCACCAAGTCGTCGTCGACTTAGCCAAATCCTCGAAACTGACTTGTGCATACAGGAAAATGGGTACCGACACAGGAATCACCACCAAAACAGTAGGAAATAACATGGAGGGATGAATCCGGTAGGAGGATCCACTCTCCTCTGTGCGTTTCGAGTTGTCGTGTAGCCTCCTCCTCTTGTTGCCTTTTCAATGACTCGACGACGATCTCCTCCGTTCAGGCTGATGATAGGGCTTGAGTTAACAGTCTCCTCCATAGTGGTAGCCTCTCCTCTTCTTGTTCTCCGGGGCGATCGCAATGGTAGTTCATCGGCCGCCAGCAGTGCAGCAGAGAAAACAACAAATAGATATGAGTTTTGTTTTCTGTGCTCAGCTGCAGACAACCGGAGACTTACCCTTGTTTTTCAACTTGCACCAACTTAGCCGTCATGGGCCGAGAACTGATTGCCAGCCCATGGTCCATAGGATTCAATGAGAGATGGCTTTCGAATCTACACCGGAGACGGTCGGTTTGAGTGCGGTTTGGATAATAGAGGTGCGACCGATCGATTCAAATAAGTAAAACAACTCACCTGCTGTCGGCCTGTTGTCGGCCAAGCTCGGAATTCTCTCCAATTTACCATAGGAAATCAATGAGGGAGAGAAGTCAGTGCTGCGCCTTCAATAATAACACACTTGATAATAGGTTTACCTCGTCCTAACAGTAGTTGTAGTAGTAGTAGTAGCAGTAGTTGCGATCGGCCGCTCCTCCACCATTGTCTTGGGTGGATTTGTGTGGGAGATTCGTCATTCAATTGACAGATTCAAAATGATGCAGCGAGCGAGCCGACACGACGCACGATTGGCTGAACAAACATTACATTAGGGTTAGGGTTTTACTCAGTCGTACCATTACGGTGCGTTGAGCAGGGCGACCCGTCTGTATTCTAATCTGCACCTTCCACACATAAAGACCCAAGTGGTACTTTGGCATTAAGTCTTTGAGTCTCTCACTAGTCAAATTGTGGCTACTCGTTAAACTGTTTTAGAAAACTATGTTCTCCTAAGGACTTAAAACAACTGTAGCCATAACTCTAAGCGGAGCAATGTGGTAGCACACATGCTCCAATTAGACTAGCCGCCACTGCAGATAGTGCTAGGAGCGACTCATTGCTCTGAGCAGCCACCAAAGGAAGAGGACAATGGTGTCCTTTTTTTTTAGGGGCTTCTCAGTTCAATGTTGGGTTCCAACGATTTTGGATTGGTGCACTGGTGCGCTGGATATCACCATTGTTCCCCAACTCTAGCACTATCGTTTCGACACTACATACTCTAGTTGTATTTGGTCGTACCTAAATAGTCCCAGTGAACTGCCCATGCCAACCAGATTGCGGACAGCTGAGGCGGTGGCTGGGAGTCGAGGAAGACTCATTCAACTGACGTGGCAGATGCCATTCTCCTGAAGGAGCACCACTGCACCAGTACCTCTGTGGAAATGTCATTCGTGGCAAAATACTTAAGAGATGATACACCAAGACATTGGAGACGATCGGAATGATTTAAGAGACGAAAGCAATCGTCTCCTATATTTTGGGGGATGATTCAATAGGAGATATTCCAATTAAGATACGATCGTTTCGAAATAGGAGACGATCCTGGAGAACTAGGAGATGATCATGGCATACAATTTACACATAAACTTAAGAGACGAGCCGTTGAGAATAGGAGACGATCCGTTGAAAATGCGGGATGATAGAATAGAGAGAGATACGAGTACTCATGACTGAGTCTCTCTGGAATAGTCATTGAGAAGGGTTCTCAATGACCGTTTAGTCATACTAGGTTGATGATGACAGCTTGCTTAGATATTTAGCAGCGTGGAGTACTTCCACCGCTACTAGATAAATGCTAGAGAATCTTCCACGCGTTCCGTTTTTGGATCGTGGAGTGAGTAGGATTGCTACCGCAACCTACTCTATCACATTACAGTTCCCGCGGGAGTTCAGATCTAGATCTTTGATTATCATCTCTCTTTGATTAGTTTTCTTAGCTTTCTAATCCTCTCATAACTTTCATTCTCTCAAACTCAAAACACTCGAAAGATTTTACACTAGCTTTTAGCGTAGTGCATTCGTCTCCTCTTAA